TGAATCCTTTCTGATTTTTAGCCTTGGAGGTTATAGTGACAGGTTGCATTAACCTCTTACCTGTGGCACATTTTCAGATCACTGGCCAAGTAGTGAGTGAATAAATTGATGCTTTCAAGAAGTTGTTAGATATTGCCACGGCAGTTGGCTGGTTCAACCTGAGCTGCTTTATGAGATGCTAAACGGTAGGCCAGCTGTTGTGCGGCTCTGTGATGCATTTATTGATAGCCATATCTGAGCTCACACAACCTGTTACGAGGCAGGACAGCCACTTAACACCCAGCCACCCACTGAACACAGCAGCAGCATCCCTCTAGCTCCAGTCCTTATAGGTTTGAAGTGATAGAGTTTTAACCACAGCAAGAAATCCTCAGACACCAATGAGACGTGGGCAAAGAGCTGATACCACTAATTACCAGTGAGAGATTGTCCAAGAGTGCTCAAGGAGTGTTTCTTTTAATTAATGATGGGGTGATGGATACTCTTTAAATCTACCAGAAGGGTAGATGTTTAAATTGGCAAACAAGATGAGAAAACAGTAGAGCAGTGCTACCAGAACTTGGTGTTACATTAGAGCACAGTGTGTTTTTAATGTGTGCTTGTTGTGTTTAAAATGCTGTCACAGTAGTGTCCCTGTTTCAGACACTAAAAGACAGGTGAGAAGTCCTTAACCTGTCCATTATCATTAAGGACTTGTTCATCTTTAAGCATCCAACTCATTCTCTCTAAGGGGCAAGATCTCCCCCTCCCAAACTTGTAGCTTTTTCGTGCACCATTACACATGAGATTGGTCACTTCTCACCTTCCACCATTTTCTACTTATTAATTGAGTTCAGGGATCCTGTCTCTTCCAAGATAGCCACTGATGAGTCCTTCTGCATAAACACTGTGACTCCTTGGAGCTTTGAGAGTGTCTGCCAGCCTTAGGTTCACAGCACCAGCCTCGCTTGCTATCTAAAGCCATTTTCACACATGAACTCTGCACTATCTCTGTGGAATCAGGCCCGGGCTTTGTCGAGATGTTGCCCTTTCATACATGTAGCACGCAACAGAAGACTGTGTCAGACATGTTCTCACCTACTGGAAATTCATTTATGCGGGGGGGGGGGCATGCCTGGGTAGAGTGTGCAGGAGGCAGGACATGATGCAGTCACCAAGCGAGTTTGTAATTTGGTCATAAACAACAGAATCTTGTGCCTTGTGTGACGATTCTGGCACCGGCTCTTCATTGTAAATGACAGTTTTTCTTCACCATCAAATGTTTGTATTCTTCTGGTTTCGCACCGGTCACATGATAGAACGCCATCAACATGCCCACTAGCTCCGTGTGACTACTCCAGACTAAACGCTAGACTTTGTACTAGAGAGCCTGCAGAGTTAAGTCTTCTTAAGGTCTGCATTAGCTGACTCGGACATTTGCGTTCTCACATACAGCTCCACCCAGTAATGTCTTGAGAATTTCAGGGTTCCAGTGCTTGTCTGAAAAGGGCTTATGAGAATACAGCTGCAAGAGCCTTGTCTGGAGTGCTGTTAAGTTGAAGCATTCCTCACAAGGTCCACATCCTGGTAATATAAACCACAGGCCGCTAGATGGATGGGCACTAGCAATGCGCACATGATATGTGGCCATTTGAAAATGCTCAGTTTACTCCTGTTGTCGCATCTCAGGTGTAGTAGAGAGAATGAGTGCGCCCTGTGTGTGAATTTGAAAGTGCATATAATCACCATATCTTGACAGATGTTTATCTACAGAGGAAACAGTTCATCCCATATGAATAAATTCATTGTGTGGTGGGTATTTGGACAGACAGGGGTTGTTGCTGGTAGAAGGTAGGTGACATAGAAAGGCCTTCATCAGGGAGTCAGTGGCATCTCTTGAAAAATGCTTTTTCATCTTGTCATTACGTAATAAGAAAGAGGACCATACAGAAAGTCAGGTTCAGTAAAGGCTACTCTATGACCTGGGATGCCATCCTGGATTTACTGTGTAAACAAAGCTCTAAACTTTGTTTTCTTGGACCTCCAAAGCTGTCAAGATGATCAAAGCAAATGTGCTTTTATTTCATTGCTGCACTGTGCTTCAGCATTGAGATTGGTGTCATGGGTGCAATAAAATTGGCAGGCAAATGTGATTTGCCCACCGCTTGTAGCATGATGAGGCTGAGAATTGGTGACAAATGAGCCCATTATGAAAAGCTTAATTGTAGTGGCTTTGTTCTTGCTCCTCTCTACCATCTGAGTGACTTTTAATTTCTCCGAAAAACAAAAACGGCTTAGTTCTTGTCTCTTAGTTAAGACAAATGAGTTATCTGCCTCAAATTAACATAAAAGCTTGTGAACTGTTTGCAGAAATAAGTTCTTTTGTCCTTTAGATTTTGCAATTTGGAGGGGTTGCGGAAATATTTTAGTTACTAACCTTCAACTACCTTTTACTGGGCCCTTACCAGTACAACCAGCCAGGCTGTCCTTCGGCTCTTGTGCTGCATCTTAATCATGCCAAGGCTTGTAAAAAGGTGCTTTATGTAATTTTGTGTTTCCCAGCCACCCAAAGGCGCTCTTAATTAAAAGCTGCATGATTGTTTTTGTCCAGTGGGTGTTGGTGTCAAGGAGAAAAGCTTCCTTTCTCCTGTTCGGCACCTTTTTCCTCCCTCATGAACAGAAAACAGGTGGCTGTGCTTGCTGTTTCACACATATCCTCCTTCAGATGGAAAGGTGGGAAAAGATTAGGCATTAGTTTGAAGGAGAAAGAAGACAAAAGGAGCTAAGGGAGCAGACAGGTGGACTGCAGCGATGTCTCTTTCATGCAGTCGAGATATTTTTGGGAGTGGAGAGTAATGCAGAAAGGTGATACACGTACAGTATCTGGCATCGCAGAGAACAGGAGACGGTTTTATGGCCTCAAAGGTCATATCTGATCTCATACTGGTATCTTGTGGGACTTTATTCAGATATCTGTAGAGCTGCAACAGTTTAATCAAGTAGCAGATTGACGGATGATTAACAACTACTGATAGCTTCTCAAATGTGAATAACTGAATGTATTTTGTTGTGGACTGCTGGAGAAGCTGGGAATAACATACTGTATACTTTTGTTTGTTTTTTACTATTTATAGACTATGACAGTTAATTGATTAATCAAGACATTATTTGTCTTTATAATCAATAATTAAAATAGTTGTTAGTGGTTCATGTGCTTGTTGTTGAAAGTTGGTCTGTGCCCAACCATTTGACGTCTCTGTATAAGGAGGGTTGAGGTCCAGGGCGTGGAGGATTTTCCCCCAGAGCCAGTGATGCATTAAACATTGAACACTTGTGCAGCATGTTTACAGATTTTGGCCACTGATGTGTGTGTGTGTGTGTGTGTGTGTGTGTGTGTGTGTGTGTGTGTGTGTGTGTGTGTGTGCGCGTGTGTGTTTACATCTACTCTGATGTAGGCGTGTGAAAACTGGGGGGGTTATAAAGGTAAGACATGTCTGTGTGATCTGTTTGTTCAAAAACAGCATTTTAACCCTGTAAAGCCCAACATATCAAAAAAATAGCCATAACATTCTAATTTTTCAGAACTGAGATGTTTATTAAACCTTTTAACAAAATCCAAAATATAATTCATGATTCGAAATTCAAGATTCACGATTTTTATTTGCCATATATGCATAGACAGACAGTCCAGGCATGTAGGAATAGAGGTGCCATATTATTTAGATTATTTCTATTTATTTATTTTGTGTCACATTTGATACATGGGGCATTTTTGACAATTTGTTTTGCTCAGAAACCTCATGTATCAAATATGATACAAATGGTTTTATAGGGATAAATATCTTCTGCCGTTTTATACTTGGAAAGCAGCCGATCTGAACATCACTGCCAGTGTCTGGTGAGTGATACAGTGCTGCTCTGTTCGATCAGTCCTGCTCTACTTAGGCATTGATCAGTTCACTCTCTTCTGATAGCAAAGTGGTGACACTGGGGTGTTTTTAAACAAACAAATAAATGCCAGCCCAGTGTAGACAGAGGGCCGAAACACAGAAGACGACATGTCTTTAGATTTGCAAATCACTGGACTCACGTTAACAAAGCTCTTCCATTTTGTGTTCTTTGACAGTTAAACACACCATGATGCAGTACCGCAGCTGTGACTTTGTTGTTGGATAATCCTGGTTGATCCTGGTCAGGGGTTTACCCTTGGTGATACTTTATATACAGTATTGCTTGTATATAAATGGTTCTTAATTTCTTCACTTGTATTTGATGTTTATTTTATTTGTCTACAAAAGAAGAAGTAGCTACAGTAATGCTCTTTATTTCCTAATCCCCCACTTCAATTCATCCAACTTCCATTTCTGTCACCTCTATCTCGAATGCGTTTCCTACTCTGTTCCTGAATTGCATTGCATTTTATCCTCCTGATGGATATTAAGAGCACACAGTAGCTGATAAACAGCACTTCTTTGTAACTTTAAGTTTCTGCCTTGTATACTTCCCCTCCGCCCTGATAAAGCACTACTGTACAACCTGCCTTCCTTGAACAGTGTTGTTTCTGTTTACAGCACAAAGGCAGCAGTACACACACTCATTCATTTTACACCCAGTCTCACAGAGTGTGTGGAAGTGTAAAGCAGAATAATTTCCTGCCTATGTGTGACAGATTTTGCTCTAAGTGGCACTTCTTAAATGTCACCCTGTGTTTAAGGGACAGCTTGGTGATGAAAGTTGAGGTGCTTGATGGCGGCCTTGCCAGAGGTATGACTAACTCCTGGTATCACGGGATGATTGAGTGTGTGTAGAGGTGAGACAGCTCACTGGGTCACATGACCTGTCAGCATGTAACAGGACTGCATACCGTGCTCAGAGGGCTGCTTTAGGCATGCTCATGATAGCTTTCAGAGAGCTTCCCCCCTGTTAGAGATGCAATGTGAACAGCAAGAGGTGGAGACACAAGGGAGGCTTCTCTGTCATCACCTCGCTCCAGTAACTTTGTGGGCCATGCATGAATTGCCCCCTTGGGATCACTAGAGTTGTCTGACTCTGGATTATGAAATGTTCTCTATTTGGTTTTTGTGCCTGATGTTTCTAGGACAGACAGCTGGAAGGCAGATGCACCCTGGGAGAATAAATATTTTAACTTCCGCCTTTGGAACACAGGAGATGTAGTGTTTCAACAAAAACATCCTCATTTTAAATTTTGTGTAACTGAGGTACTGTAGGTTTATCTGCATACAGTATAGGTACTTTTTAACAGTGAAACACAGTTGAAAGTGTTTTATATTATACAGTAGGGCCTGAAAAGCAACAGAAGGTGGTCAAAAGTCAACTTAATTAGCACTAAACTGCTTTAGCTACTGTTAGAAGAGTTTATACAGTGTCACTTCAGTAGTACACAGTACCTGCTCTGGTGTAATTTTCTGACCAAAATTGGCTTTAGCTGGCTAGCTACAGCTAAACAACTTAACTGGATCAGATTCAGTTTTGAAAAGTGCAACCAGTTTAATAAATGAAGATCAGCATCACTGCCTACTGTATGTTATTGCCTACAAATGGCTGAAGAAATAAACAAAGGTCCTCTCCATAGTACCACTCAGCTGAATGTAAGGTAAGATTATAGCCTTATTTGGCCTTTGTGAATGTGGTTTTAATCTGTCTTTCCTGTTGTCTTATTACAGCTTTCACCATGATGATCATCTTGGCTCTCATCCGTATCAGTAAAGGCACGGGCGAGGGCCACCCACCAATGGCCTCCTTCTCTGGGGTCCCCAACCTGTTTGGGGTGTGTGTCTACTCCTTCATGTGCCAACACTCCCTGCCCTCCCTGGTGACGCCCATCTCTGACAAGAAACGTGTTGGCGTCCTGGTGTTAGCGGACTACATCCTGATTCTAGGCTTCTACGTCCTCCTCTCATTTACCGCCATCTTCTGTTTTGATAGCTCGCTGCTGCACGATATGTACACCTTAAACTTCACAGACAACTGCAACGTGTTAGATATTCCAGTACTGCGCTACTTCCTGGGCCTGTTCCCAGTTTTTACCATTAGCACCAACTTCCCCATAATTGCTGTCACACTTCGCAACAACTGGAAGACCCTGTTTCACCGGGACGGAGGCACCTACCCATGGGTGGTGGACCGTGTTGTGTTTCCCCTCATTACCCTAGTGCCCCCAGTTGTGGTGGCTTTCTGCACCCATAATCTGGAGTCTCTGGTGGGCATTACTGGAGCCTATGCTGGCACAGGAATCCAGTACATAGTTCCAGCCTTCCTTGTTTATTACGCTAGACGACATTTGGAGCCCGTGATGGGCAGAGATGCTGTCAACAAGCACCAGTCTCCTTTCCGCCATGCCTTCTGGGTGTGGTTTGTTTTGCTGTGGGCCACCTTCTGCCTCATGTTTGTTACAGCCAACATCATCCTAACTGACACAAAGAAATGAAAAGTTGCTGTTCCAAGAACTTTCTAAAAAGTTAAACCTGTTTGGCTGATTTCTTTATTCTTAAACTGTACATGGGGCCTTACTTGCAGCAGGTTGGACAGAGTGCCTTTTTATGGGGTTTTTATTGCACAAGTTAAATGTAATTAATCAAATTTGTTACAAGGGACCAAATGTCAAGTGTTTCATGTTCCATCAAAAAAAGCTGGAACAGTGCATGACAATAAGGAAAGGAAATTTATTCAAACTAGTTTTTATTTTTTTTAATTTTTTTTTTTTGGTCAACAAACACAAGGCAGTCTGAGGGTCTAATGAGGTTTTGCACTCATCACTTTTAAAAAGAAGAAAAATGAAGAAATCAGTGATGATAAGTCTTTCATGGCTGACGCGTAGCCATTACTCAGCTACGGTGGCCTCCGATCTCCTCGTCCCTCTTGTGAACAACAAAGCTCTGTCCATGACAGATCCACTGACAGATAGACCTCCAGGAAGAGCTCCATCTCTGTTTATCACCAGACTCGCACCTGTAGTTCACACACTGTCTGCTGCCTTTTACGGCTCAACATCTATTCGCGTGTCTGTCGGCATTAAACTGTATCCATCACACTGCCCAGTGTCTGACAGGATAATAGTGCTTCAGCATCTGGCTGTGGGGAAGGCATCAGTGGCTGAAAGTGAAGGGGACTTTTTTTTACAGCATCTTACACTACCCAACCTGCTGTAGTTTAGTAATGTTAACTTCACTGACACTTGGCAGCTTCCTGTGTGAGATGTGTCTGTTAATGAGCTCCATTATTGGACTGACACTTCCACCTTTGACCCATGTCGTGGTTCTGTCTCTGTGATTTTCATAATTCACTTAGATCACAGAAATATTTCTTAAAGGCTTGGTTCACCCTAGGTACAAAACAAACATCTTGCTTATTCTGAATGGAACTAAGCAATGAAGAGATGTTTTTGTAAGTGTACAGTGTACTGTAGGTGTATGAAATCTTGCTTGCGGTGCTCACAGTGCGCTTTGCTTTGGACTGTTTTCTTGGGGAGTATTTCTTTGGGAGAAGGTAACTACTGAACATGTATCTAGAGTAACAAGAACGCTGTATCTGGAAAGAAATCTTAAAGATTTTTAATGTAATTTTTTCAAATAAAAAGCTCCATTGTAATAGAATAGCTGAAGAAATGTGGACAAATGAAACCAAAACACTGTGCATGACTAGAACTGGTCAACCTTGTTTTTAAAAACATTATTTTTAAGTGTCTGAATACAAAATGCAAATGTTTTATAATACCCACAGAAATTCTCATCATGCAATTACAGTTATCCAACATTACATCTGTCAGTAATTGCAAGAATATTGGTTATTTCTAAGCATCAGAAATGTTCAACTTGCCACTTAAGAGTATTATATAGAATATTTATTATGTAGGACAAGTGAATTAGTGAACCAAGGATTGGTTTCAAATCTGATGTCTTCTGCTTTATCTTGCCTGTTTCTCATATTTACCTACTAGTGAAACTAAATTGATATAAGCTAAATAGACTAGAAACAGACAATAAAATAATGATTTAAACTAGTAAGAGTCCATGGTATAAGGTCATACATTCATAGGTGGCCTGATATAGTGGTTCAGCCTCCACTTAGTCCATAATTGTCTTATGTCCACACCCTGTTTTATTATTGTTCATACAAAGTCAAACCTAAACCTGTCGCAAATTACCGTTAGGTACGGAGAAACCTGTGGCACTGCAGTTTTTTTAATTTAGCTGTGTATTTACCAGTACTGATAATGTAGATGGGTGCAGCTGCAGCTAGAACGCGCTTCAGCTGGTAAGGATGTGCCTGTAATGGCACCAGTGGACCGAGAGGGACAGCATAAAAGAGTCTTGACTTTTTAACATGGTGGAAGATTCAGAGTTGCAATCACATAATCTCCTGCCAGTCAACTCGTCTTTTATTTCGTTCAGTAAATGAAAAAAGTCCCTCAGTTTCCTCTGCCGAATGATGTGATTTACAAACATCCTCTTCTTCCTTACACATTCTTAGCTCGGAATTCATTTTCACTTTTTAGTGCCAAAAATGAGCCGCGAATCCTCCGTAAATATCCCTCTAGTTATCGTTTTGGACTTGGATTACCAAAATGTTGTGAGATGGTGTAAAATTTTGTCTCTTGCTTTTCTTAAAGGCTGCTTTATGGTTAAGTGACAACATTTTTTAGCTTATTTTACCGTTGACGCCATCTGGTCAACATCTACAGCACAAACAAGTGTTGTGTTTGCATATCCTCTCAAAATGTTGATCATCATATCCAAAGAAACATTTGTACTCTATGGGAAGTGTTTGGCATTTTTAATGTTGTCATCTTTTCCTTAAGTCAGACATAGTCATGGCCAGTATACAGTATCATGATTGTCGCCCAGCTTTGCTTGAATAGCGTAATTGGTGTTGTGGTGAGTGACAGATTTAAGATACACTTAAAATGTCAAACATGAGCACTGCCACATGCCTAGATTTCACACATTTGCACTATCGCTGTGGTCAAAATAAATGCAAACCCACTTTTGGTTGTGGAGTATTTCAGTATTTCAGTTGTGGAGCAGTAAGAGAGACTGCAGCCTGCAGTTCAAATTTCAGGATAATCTGGAACTCAAGTGTTTTTAAGGCACTGCAGCTGTAAGGTCCCTTACTCATGCATGGTAGCATTGTTGTAGCACTGGGGTTAGTGTTGCAGGTTATTGAGGTAGCTCTGCTTGTGGGGCTGTTGGCTATAGACTGTATCACTCAGCCTGTGTCTTTATCAAGCTGAAGTTAGAGACAGCAGATTGTCCCAGTTTTCAGATCATCTGTGATCTAGTTCAACACAAAATATTGTTGGATGTCACTTTATGTTATTCATGGATGGAACCAATCTGTAACATGCATGCAGCAATATATTATAACATAATTATTAGCTGTATAATTTATGTTCCTGCATGCGTGCATTTGGTTCATCCTCTGATTCTGATGTTTTTGGTCTTTTTCATCCTTTTACACCTGAAGTGGAAGGAAAAGTACGAATATTTTAATCTTGGATTAATATTTATGACTTAACTTGGAGACAAAGATATGTTTGAATGCCTGTGTGCGCTGGTGTGAACAAATGACTCTTGTTTGGAGTTGTGAAATGTGCCTTTTTCACAGGGTAATTTTCTTGCCCTGAACTTCTAGACTCCTGATGTTCTCATCTGCATGTAAGCCAATTAATTTTAAGTGACAATCATCTTCTCCCCCCCAAATACTATGTTTACAATTTCAGTTCTTTCTTTAGTTTTCCTTAAGTTCACTGAGAATTGTTCTTATTTTCTCATTTTTGATCCTGTTTTTGGTATTTGTTTACAATAATTTGGCCAGCCTGTGATTCACCATTTTATATGGATGGTTACTGCTTTAATGGATGTTCTGTTTGTTATGATTCATGAAGAAAATAAAGGCTTTATGCTCATCTTTAATAGTTTTATTAGCTACTCTGTCATCTTTTCTAGTTATTGCCTTCATACTGGTCATTTATACAGTAACATACTCACAGGCTTCAGTGAAGAGAATTTGAACACAGGTACTCTGCTACCACAGCTTTACCAAAATAAAACCTCAGACACTTAAAAAAATCTAGTTTTTACCTTCTGGAATACTGAATCATACTTGTGTAAAATTGCCCTATTTTACACAGTACGCTGTGTTCTTCACTTTTATGCTGCATACAAAATGTCTGTTGAATAATAGAGATTGTTGAAATTGGTTACTGACAGTTGCCTATGTGAAGCTTGTTCGCTCACATATGAACAAATATGTATAGCACAGGTCATTTGAGCTCAACAAGGAAGCAGTGCAGTTTTGCATGCAACAGACAGTTACTATCGAACCCATGCTTCATTTATAGAATAATTTAAGAATATTGTCTTGAGTTTTATTTACATTACAATGTGAATGGAAAATGATATCTTGGTTTTTTTTTTTTTTTTTTGCCATGTCAGTTTTTATTATGCATGTGAGATGCCCCTGTTTCTCTGGCATAACGAAGTTAATGAATTCAGTTTGGTGCACTGTAACAGATTTACTTTTTCATTCAAGTAGGGCCAGTGGTTCATGATGTTAGGAAACGTCAGAAATCTTCAAACCTTCAAAAGCTGTTCACAGGTTAATGTGCCAGTTGCAAACAGACGAACGGGACTGAAACTGGTAACGTCCTGTAATGATGGAGGTAGATCAGTGTCCAGATTCTGTACAGTGGAACTGCTAAAATAACAGTGTCATAACCAGCAAGTTGGATGGCAAAAAATATGACACATGATGCAAAACAAACAAAAGACAAATGTGCCAAAGAGTTCCTTACTGAACATCAAACAACATGTCATGCAATTCTTTTTACCTCCTGCAACACAAAAGAGTGTTTGGCCTGTTTCCAGATTGCTTGTTTTTAGATACACATCTAGTTCTTTCCTGGTGCCAACAGAAATGATTCACTTCTGGGAACTGAATGCATGAATCCATGAATCACTGCAGCTTTGCTGTTACTTTAGTGAGAACACATTCTTGTACTCGCATCACCACAATTTCACACATTCACAGCTGGGAGTAGTTTTATCTAGGTAATTGGCATCTTTTATTTCTTTATTTTACACCTCCATTCACTTCAGTCTTCCCTGAAGCACTTCTGTAGTTCTGTATTTGCATACAAGATCCCTGTTTCTATTATCAAACCAAATCTCCCCCGCTGAATTTCAATCTCAGCAGGGCTGCTCTGGTGTAATTCAATTTACCCTCTATGTGGGGTGTGTCTGCGAGTTTGTAGGCAGAGATTTAATTGGACATGCAAACTTGGCGCGACTTAATTAATTCAGAGTGTCTTTAATCGCTGCGTGATTTATTACAGTGCTGTTACCCAGGCTGGAAGAAAGAGCAGGTACTGGCTCTTTCTTGCCTGCAAATATTTGATCTCCTGTGGTGAAACTGAGGATTTATTTTTTTCACTGTTGGATTCAGCAGCGTCTCTGAAAACTAATAAAAAATCTACAATCAGGCAGCTACTCTCTACTTCACTGAAACTGCAATAGTTTAAGTTCCTGTGTTTTTCATACCACAGTATGCTACTCATACACATTTTAATGTCACAATATTTTGCTAATGTGTATTTGCAGTAAAATGTGTAGAATTAGTTCACAGGGTTTTCTGAAAGTTGTAACAGTTGTATCTTATCCTCACCAGATCAGAATCAGAATCAGCTTTACTGGCCAGGTGTGACGGACACACGAGGAATTTGACTCTGGTACATCGGCTTTCAATGTGCAAAACAGTAAACCAGCACAAGGCTGTGTAATATAACAAAATAGGAGTATTAACATCAACAACCAGCGCAAACAATGCAGAAAAAGCAGTATAAACAGACAGTAAACAATGCAGACAACAAAGGAATGTTCATTGAAACGAGATAAATAGGGATAAAAACAGAGTACTTAAAACTAGAGACCTCTATGACTCTATAATCTGTACAATGTATATTTACAGGTATTACACTGAGGGTTATTGTCCAGTCATACTGTCGTGGGTTAAGTGTTCATCAGAGTGATGGCCTGAGGGAAGAAACTGTCCCTGTGCCTGGTTGTCTTGGTGCACAGTGACCTGTAACATCGTCCAGAGGGGA